GTCAGAGGTGGCAGCCCTCGGGCAAGCCGTACGTGGTCGCAGCGACCGAAGTTTGTTCACGGTTCATTGGAACCTGTCCCAACCTCAGGTGCACACACAGCGCTTACACTCAAACGAGGCAGGTCCCTAGGTGCTTCTAATGAGGTTTGGTTTCATCGGTTCTCGTCCCCTCCATTTGGTTCCCCTTTCATTCCTTCCCCTTCACACACTTTTGTTTCCTCTTTTCTTTCACGTCCTCCTATCTTCATGTCTGTTCATCTCATCCCTTTCTTCGTTTGCGTGCACATTGGTCCCGGCCTTAGTGTGTACGTGCACTTCTACATACCTTTAAACACAGGTTTCAGGTCGCCCGGGTCTTTACAATGAGGTGGGCTTCATCGGGTGTCCCTGTGCACTTGGTTCCCCTTTCATTTCAACCACACGCACCTTTGTCCCGTCTCGTCCTCCTGTCATGTCTTCATTCTTTTGTCTTGTGCGCGCACACGTACACATTGGCCCTCACCTTAGCTTTACGCCTCCCCTCGGGAAGGCGTGTGTGTGTGTAACCCTTGGAATCATAGGGATCCTTTCGGATTGTTTTCGGTTTGGCTTTTGTCATTTCATTTTACAGCAGGGGGGCTGGTGGTTCATGCAAGTACCAGCCCAACGAAGAGGCTTGCATTGAACACTGATATCGGTGGGGACGCTCACCGAGGTACCTGCAATTTTCCTTTTTCCGAATGGCATGAGGCTAAGCCTAGAACCTCACTTGCTGCAGACATGAGCGATCGTCGTCATTTCGCCCTGTTCGTCGCCTTCGACCTTGCGCTTTTGGCCTCACTTCCTCTTCCAGACCCCCAGGCTCCGATGGTCCTTACTGGTACTCTTAGGAAATGGAACCCTAGGCCGGCGTGTGGCACCGCTGTCAAGTCAGTACGCATTTCCATGAGTGTGTGTTTTGTGTGCTTGAAGATTCTTTGGATTTTAGGTTGCTTTACTTGTGTTTTCAACTAGTTTTTGGTCAAGTGTTGGGGAAGTTCTCAAGATTTGTGATTGGAACCCCACAAACATGTTTTAACATCACTGCGGTTTGATCCAACGGCCCTTACAAGTTCAAAAGAATTGGACATTGTTGTCAAAAAAACTAAACACTGCTATGACTGCAGTCCGAACTCTTCACGCTTGTCCTCCCATTTTGTTTTATCAGTTGCTCACTTGGTCCTGGTACCTTCGACCAAATGATAAGTGAAATGGTTGAACCATGGTGGTCCCGATTTCATGGATGCACCAATCCCAACTTGGACCCTGGGAATTGCACCGACCTTGCCAAAACAGGTTCAAATTCAATCAAAAAAACACCCTGCTACCAACACACTCAGTCACTGACCTCCAATGGGTAAGCAGCGCGTTTCGCCTCGCGAATGGTTGCACTTCACTTCTGACGCAAGAATTGCGCACGATGTTTCCTGTCTGGAAGTGTTGGCAACACCGGTCTCAGGTCCCCACCATTCCAGAAGAACAATCCATGAAGCGCGGTTGGAAACAAATGTTCAGTCGTACATTGTGAAGGAAGAACGATACAAGTTGTCATCAATCATCCGGGCTTTGTTGGGTTGCACTAATGGAAGCCTTCTCGAAATCACTGAGCCAGGCTGCAAACCTCTCAATGAGAAGGTACCCCGAACCCAGGTCTTTGCAAGCTCCTTACGTGTCTCCTTCAACATAAGCCTGTCCAACTCTTCGTCACCCGAAGTTACTGTCGTTGCAAGGATGGTTTCATTTCTCTTTGATGCTCCTCGTTCCAACTGTTCCGCTGTCATGAGTGAAGCAAGGTCTAAATTGTTGTTCAAAAGTGCTGCGTCCATCAATATTGCGAGCCGATGTCGAACCCTCTCAAAATACATCAATGTCAATGTGTTCATACGCTCCAAAAACACTGAATCAATACAAGCCGTTTGCTTTGGGCGTCCTGAACATGAGGAGGTCTTTTGTCACGGCTTTCCCTCTCCAAATGTGCAAGCTCATTTCCACCTTTCAACCAATGCTTCCACTAATCCATCCTGTATTTTGTCAGCAGCTCATCATCTCATAATTTCCATGCCAGATCTATTACAACCCAGTGTCTAGGACGTCTGGAAAGCCTATGTCCGCATTGACAGCACATGATGGAAAATCGCTAAGTTCAACACCAGTCTCAGAGCATTGGCAGCCATCTCAATACATGCCCCCCCCGAAGTGGATTCAGAGACGCAGAAATCGAGCATAGGAATGAGCAGTGACTGCAGTTCCACTGAAAGTGAATGAAGGTCAGTGGAAAGCGTGCTCAACAGGTTCAACAAAGGTGTTCGACAAACAAGTGCACTTACGACAACATCAAAGTCAGGAACAATTGGCCGAACCTACCGATATTTGGGTTTGCTGGGCACGCAACAAAGGATGCTTTGAAAGTCCTTCAACGTGCAAGGCAGAAGCTCGAGACCTAATTGCACAAGGGCTGGACCCCGCCAAAGCTCTCTGGGATACTGAAATTCAAGACGTGTGGCCCATACACGACGTCCTTCTGAGTCCATGGCTCAACGCCACGGAGTATGCTCGTGGCTTTGATCACTCTCATTATTCAACTGTGAGATCTCCTTCACGTTTGCAACTATGCGGGACCAGTTGTCCCGACTGCCGCCAAGCATGCACACCAAGTCGGAACAATGAAGTTCATGCATCTTCTGTAAGGAAATGAAGCACCATGTGCTCAAAGATACGAATTCCGCGGAACGATTTGAAGCTTTGGCGAACAACCTGCAGCCAAACAAGGATTATCACAACTGCGCAGCAGTTTCGAGTTCGTCTGTATGTCCTTTGCACGAGAAGCTGTCCGGTGACCTGGTGCCAAGTCAGTCCAAAGGAATGAGTAAACATGAGTTCATCCAAGCATCAAGCAACGCTCAATCAACATCATGCGTCAAGTCTGTCAAGTCAACACGAATGATGCCAGAACGAGTTCCTCGCTTCTGTACCTTATCAACTGCCAAGCTGTTGTTTGTAGAGCGGCTGCTGTTTTGCAATGGAACACAGCACTGCAGATCCTGCAAAAATTTCCAGCATCCAAGTCTGTCCCACGCGTGTGCCGGACCTGTCACATGGGCACCAAAGCAACCTCACTCACTTCGAATGTTCATGCAAAGCACTAGCCTGCTGGCAGCGCATCAGCTCCAACCCCAAGTCATCAAAAACGAAATTCTACCCAAGAAACAGGCACTAGGTGATCCACACCCTGTACAAACGCACAAACAGGCTACGCACTATCTTTCACACCCCTTCTCGGGTCACATCGCGCCTCCTTCTGTCTCTTTCTCTTCTTCTTCTCTTCTTCTATTCGTTTTCTCTGGACATCAGACATGAAATAAAGGTTCAGACTCCTGTCCTCAATGATGATCTCCAAGTTGATCTATCTTCAACAAATCACGTGAACTCAAGCTCAACTCAAGTCCAACCCAAGATCAACAAAGGACAATTCAACCAACAAGCACGCAGTTCAACCAAGCAAGGTTAAAAAGGGGCCCTTTAGAGGACAAACATTCTGAAGTCTCACAGAGATGACTTCTCAAAGTTTGTCTTTTTTATCCTTGAGACCCTAAAAAGCAGATGCTTTGAAAAAGGTCCTGAGAGAACAAAACGTCAACATGTAACATAAGACACAACCCCATAGTCACAAGCCCTGCATGCTACACCAGCGCTCACACATGAACATGTCTTCTCCAAGCTATCTCTTGGCCCTTGCAAATCCCTTGCCACTTCAACCCTTTTGCAACACACCAAAAGCAAACGAAGAAAAGTCAAAAAAATACACATGTCCTTGGCTCAAGCCAGAAGCGTGAACATGCTCCACAAATCCTGCTTTCCAACAACTTCGCTTGATGTTGATGTCACTCTTTCAGGACCATCCTGACGAACTGCACGCGGGAGGCCGATTCCACAAAGTCACAGGTGTGTTGTCGAACAAAACGAGGCCTGACGACATGTTTGGAGTCCATCACACACCCGGCTGCGGATCCTCCGAGATCTGTTTCGATTCAGACGACGCAACTGACCTGCATTTTTTGCAACTTATTTTTTGCACGGGTGGAGACGCCATGTGTGCATGGTGCACAGGTCATCTTTGACTACGTTTGAATGAATCTCCTGGTGAGACCTGCATTTTTTGCAATGACTGGCAGCCAAACCCGTTCAATTGTTTGAAAGTCTCTGACTTTCTCTGACGTGCATGAGTCTCCCTCGGCCTCGCTGTCTTTGGTTTTGTTTTGCTGGTTTTTGTTGGTGTGTTGGGGGTTTTTGGTTTTGGTGTTCGTTTGCCACTTCTTGGCTGGAGACTCATTCCCAAGCAGCACAAGCTGACCTGTGCATTCTCTGCACACACGGCGGCTCCACCCGTGCAAAAAAATGCAACTGAAAAAAAGATTGGAGCAGCAAAGCGTTGAATCTCGTGATATTTCGGTTTGGTTGTGGTGTTGCAGGCACTTGTGGTTTTGGATGATGAACTCCAAGAACACCAAAAACCACAAAACGCAACCTCAACATTGTAGTTCCTCTTCGCAGTTCCAGATTGCATTTCGCACCAAGCCCGCCTGACAAAGGCTCAGGAACTGGAAACGCTTGCATGTTCAACGCGGTTTTGCACTTGAGCTGAAGATGCGGTGCATCCGTGGAATCTCATGTCTTTTTCTTGCACGGGTGGAGACACCATGTGTGCATGGTGCACAGGTCATCTTTGACTACGTTTGAATGAATCTTCAGGTGACAACAAACAACAAACCGACACACAAAAAACAACCCAACCAACCAAAAACAGAAACCAGACCCCAAGACACGAAACGAAAGGAGATTCAACTTTGTACATGCAAGGCGAGACGTTGGTGAAACTACGCTACGACTTCTTTGTAGTGGGGCAGCGAATTCAGGTATGAGCTTCGAAGAGGAGTCATTCTCTTTGCAATCTCGGGGGAGAGGGGCGGTGGGCCTGAAGTGACAGATGTCAATCAAAGCTCGTTGGCAATTGAGCAGCAATTATAGCTACCATCTGGGAGAGCTGCTAGTCGAATGCACGAATATCGGACGATGCAACCTTGTTGTGGCCGTGGAAAACAGCGAAGCCCACAACTCTGACGTGACAAGCGAAAGTGAGTGAAGCTAATCGCTGTGGCGTGCGTTCAGCGCATAGCACGGTGAGTGGTTGTTGCGCGTCCATGACAGCTGTGCCTACAGGAGCAACCACCATGCGCACACTTGTTCCAATCAGGGGTGCAGACGTGCGAGAGCAGGCTTTCAGTGATCATGCAGTGCCCTGGTGAAACTTGGTGAAACCTATCTACGGCGCCGCCTGTACTCTGTATACAAGGCTGGCAGGGCAGGGACCCACCCTCAGGACAAGAACTAAGGTTCTCGCCTGAGATCCAGCCAACTGTACATCATGTTTATGCGCTTTGGCTCAAGACAAGAACTGAGGTTCTCGCCTGAGAGCAAGTCGCAGGGCATGTTACATAGACTTAGACACCTACTGGGACGATGAGCAGTGGCGGTCGATGCTCCCCTTGTAAGCTGAGCCCACTCACCGTGTTGATTCTTCTGTACTCCCCTTGGTCCGGCCGCCATGCATGGGCAGGATCATGCCCTGGGTTCGGAATGAGGTTGATCCACGCTGGCATGGTGAATCTGGGGCATAATTCGAAGGCTGTTTCCTCATAAGGCCCTCGCCATGTATTTCTGTTAGATAGCAAAGCCCATCCCTCGCGCCTGTTTTGGGACTCCAGCGCTGCGGACATACGAGTAGTTTTCAACTAGCAAACTGCATCTTCTATACATGCTAGTTCATCCAACAAACTCTGACACCCCGCCTAAAATTGAATGGCGAGACATGTTCGAGTCTTTCTATTTTCCTATTCCTGTACATTCCATCACCATCAGAAAGGTGACCACAGACTAAGGTCGGAATGTAAATTTCTATGAAACTTGTTCACTCATTCTCTCGAAATCTGAATTCATTCGTAGTGTCCAGTTGTCGTGACATGCACTCATCCATCTTCCTGCTCTGGTTCAGCGGTTGTATCGCCATGTCGAAGTGCACGGGCACGGGCATAGGTCACACGTCGCCGCACACTCTCGTTCTGTACCGCCGAAATTCGTTCTTCTTGTTCCGGTTCTGGAGCTTCAAATCTCTTGCATCCACTTGGTCTGGGCTCTTCGCTCGATGAAACCACCGTTTCTTCTCTCACAGCTTGATCTGTCTTGTTCTCTGTTTCTTCTGCCTCTTCTTCTTCATCTGCACTTGTCGAATCACCATGATGTACTGCCATCCAAAGATCTGGTTCGCTTGCCTCACTCAAACTGCACCACCTGTAACGCATCTTCTTATCTTCTTCCGGTTCATCACCAGAAACTTCAAGCTCTTGATTTCCTGAAGCTCCACTGTAACCATCTGACGCGCTGCCACTGCCGCTCGATCGTGGGAATGTCTCTAAACTTCCAAGCGACAAATCATTGATCAACTGACGAATTGCTCTTCGGGATTCCGGCTT